ATGACTAAAAAGGAGAACATTACTGGGGAGGGAAGCATTGACACTGTAGACAGAAATCAGTGGAAATTTAGGCCGGCTAATCTTTTTTTTTCTTCCTTATTCATTTTGAGAGAGAGAGAGAGAGAGAGAGAGAGAGAGAGAGAGAGAGAGAGAGAACCTGTGCACACAAGTGGGGGAGGAGCAGAGAAAGAGAGAGAGAATCCCAAGCACACCCCACATTGACAGCACGGAGCCAATGGGGGGCTCAATCCCACGAACCCCATGAGATCAAGACCTGAGCTGAAGTCAAGAGTTGGACACCTAACCACGACTAATCTTTTGTTTTAAAAAAGGTATATTTGGAGAAAAAGCTATTAAAAAGTCAGTTTGTGACCTCTTGGCCAACTTCCAAAAGTTTCCTGAGAATAATAGTTACTAAAAAGAACATTATATTGCAGGCAAACTTTGATAGCAGTGTAATAGAAGAATATAGAGAAATGTTTAAGTTTGGATTAAACAGTGACTGAATGATATAGTGTTATAGGTAGGTTCTGGACTGGGGCTTGATTGATGTTGGGGTGACTAGCGGAGGAGAGCCAAGAAGGCACTCCTGGTATAAGGAGAGAGGTGGAGCGAAGGAGAGGACACGAAACCTATCAGGTCTCTTAGGCTTGTGATAACAGTTGGACTTCCCAAGGGAAGTAATGATGTTGGGTCCATATTGCAGGGAGCATTGAATGCTAGACCAGGAAGTCTAGATTTTGTTACACGGGAAATAGGGAGGCAGTACATACTCTTCATCAATGTTTATGTCCTAATCTCTTCTTTTTATAAGGACACCAGTTATATTGGATTAGGGCCCACCCTAAGGACCTCATTTTAACTTAATCACCTCTTTCAAGACCCTACCTCCAAATACAGTCACATTCTGAGGTACTGGGGATTGGCACTTCGTCATCCGAATTTTGGGGGGAAAGACACAATTTGGCCCAGAGCAATAGTAACATAAATCAATTTTATGGCAGTGGCTTAACTTCTTACGTCTGCGTTTTCAATGTAGTTCCCCCAGGAGTAAATACAAATTCAATCTTTTAATCTTTTGATTTTCTTCCTCTATCTGTACTCTTGACACATTGATATGAAACTTAGATATTTTCAGACTCAACATACAAGAAACTGATGATAGAATAAAATTTCTTACTCTCTCCCCTAAGCTTTACAATTAATAATTAATGAAATTAATGTTAATTAATTAATACATTAATACATAAATCATTACATAACAAAATATATATTTTATATACGTAGTATTGTTATTACATAACAAAATAATACAATAATAAATAAGTTAAATAAATTAATAAAATTAGTGTTTTCAACTATTTGTAAAAACGTCAGCTTAATGTATCCTTTGTTTGTATGTGTTAATCAAAGATATTTTATTATAATGAAAATAACCTACATTGAATTCCTTGATTTTGATTGAGTTTAATTTTTGGTTGACGTATGAAAATTACCCATGGAATTGTCACCTGTTCTGGTTTATGATTTTCTCTAGTCCGACCAAAAATACATGTACAGTATATGCTGCAGTTTGAATAATTTCTAGATCTACCAATGACATTCAATTCCTTTCTGTAGCATGACATTAAGCATTCATTTTTATGGTATCTTAAAGTATGATATTTAAAAACTATCTTGAAAATGAAGCCCTGGACCCCTTTTCACTATCAGACCTAATAGGATAATGAGATGTGTGTTGATGTGGGTCGGTGAAAGCCCTGTTTATCTGAGTGCCTCAGAAAAAAAAAAATTCTGCATGAATAAAGTGAAAAATTTCTTGATTTCTCCACTTGGTTTACTTTGAAACCTGGCCAGTGAATAAATACATTCAATTGATGGTAGTGAGAAGTCATCCTTATGAAATTTTAGGGAGATTATAGTGCGGATATTAGCTCCTTGAGATATGCAAGAGAAGTTAAGGGGTGCCTGGGTGGCTCAGTTGGTTAAACATCTGACTTCAGCTCAGGTCACGATCTCACGGCTTGTGGGTTTGAGCCCCACGGTGGGCTCTGTGCTGACAGCTCAAAGCCTGGAGCCTGCTTCCGATTCTGTGTCTCCCTCTCTCTCTGCCCCTCCCCTGCTCATGCTCTGTCTGTCTCTCAAAAATGAATAGACATTAAAAAAATTTTTCTATCTAATCTTAAATTCCACTATAGGGAACATACAGGGTTATATTAGTTTCAGGTGTGCTTAAAAGCAAGGCCCAAAAGGATTAAACTGTGGGTAATGTAAGTATGTTCTGGAACAAAACTCAAGAATAATGATAGAAATAAAAAAATACCCTGGCACCCAAGTAAGTAAAATCCACCAGTTCTGGCGTTTAATAAAAAATAACCAATACCTTGTAAATTGTAAGTGTTGCACATTCTCTCTCTCCCTGCACCGTGTGTGGACACAGTGAGAAGGTGGGTACCTCTAAGCCAGAAGCAGACACCTCACCACTAACTGAATGGCCAGCACGTGTTCTGGAGGCTGGAAGTCCAAGAGAAATAAAGCCCTGTCGTTTAAGCCACTTGGTCTGCTGTATTTCATTGGCAACGTTAGCTGACAGAGTTTTCTTTTTTTTTTTTTTTGCTATTTAAAAAAATACTGCACGAAAAATCCTTGCACATTTATCTTTGCACGCTCATGCAGCAGACGTTCCCAGAAGTTTGATGGCTTGCTTATGGGGTGTGCACCCGTAACACTGGAGTAGATACTTACGCTATTCTTTCTGGCAGGGCCTCTTTGTGTTCAAATGCGCCACAATGATGTCCTTCTGTAGTGGTGAGGCCATGTATTCCCGCCACAGCCTAGAATGTGCCTTCATATTTGGAACGACAGATCAATCAGACACAGATAGGCATTCTTCTGCTTTCTCCATGGGAGCACCACTGACATTTTTGGCTAGAAAATGCCTTGTGTGTGGTACCGTGCTAGTATCCCTCCCCGACATTCATCATCCATAGTCCCTGGGCATCAAATGCCAGGACTCCATCCCTAATCATTGCAGTAAGCCCAAAAGTCCCACAGAGTTTCAAAGACCCCTGAGGGGGTTCCTTTCTCCACTCTCAGACGCTCTGAAACATGTATCAAATTTAAAATATTATAATTAATGTTGTATGTAAGTGATGAATCACCGACTTGTACTCCTGAGACCAATATTGCACTGCATGTTAACTAAAATTTAAATAAAAAATTTTAAAAAGTAAAAAAAATATATATATTATTAAAGAAATAGTTTTGGGACTTACAGCTTTGTTACCAACGAAATTTTTTACCAAGCTATTATTGTGGTTAGTATCTGCAATCTTTCTTTGATTCCAATTCCACAATTTTCTTAGTAAGCAAGTCTTTGATTAATTTCGGCTAGAAGCTTGCATATAAACGGACTCAATCTATAGCATCAAATTTATTGAAAGAAAATTTCAAGTAAGAAGAACAAACACAAGGAATATCCATGTACATTATTCAGATTGAAAAAGTTTAACACTTTGCAGTATTACGTAGAGTTTTTAAAAAAAACTTTAGGGGCGCCTGGGTGGCTCGGTTGGTTGAGTGTCTGACTCTTGATCTCAGCTCAGGCCATGATTTCATGGTGTGTGGGTTTGAGCCCTGTGTCTGGCTCTGTGCTGACAGCATGGAGCCTGCTTGGGATTCTCTCTCGCTTTCTCTGCCCCTCCCCTGCTCTCTCTCTCAAAATAAAATAAAACTTAAAAAAAATATTTTACTTTAGAAATACAACATAGATACGACGTAGGGCCCCTCTGAACATTTATACTAGTGTTTATCCTTTCCTCTATGTTTGTGATAGAATAATGGCCCCCTAAAGATTCTACTTTCTAATCTCTGGAACCTGTCAATATGTTAGCTTACATGGCAAAAGGGAAACATGGTGACATATGTCATTAAAGTTAAGGACCTCGAGATGGGGAGAGTTGCTTGCATTAGCCAGGTGGGCCCAATCTAATCCCATGAACCCGGAAAACCAGAGAACCCCTATCAGCTGTGTTGACTGAGTCTCAGAAGGCGCTGTGACATTGCTGACTTTGAAGGTGGAGGGAGGAGGACATGGGCCAAGAAATGCAGGCAGATTCTAGAAACTGGAGAACACCGGGAAATGGATTGAGACCCACGTCAGGCTTCTGACCTGGAGAACTGTAAAAGACTAAATTTGTGTTGGTGTAAGCCGGCAAATTTGTGATAATTTGTTAAAGCAGCAATAGAAAAATAATACATTATATCCTGTTACTATGTGTTTATTCACAGTGCTTTAAAACTTGGCCGAAATTTAACATTTTTAGTAAAATGTCTTGGTTATACATCCCTCTGAGTGCTAATTACATATAACTGACTCTTTGCAGTACTGAGTAGTATTACTCATTATCTTAAGACAAACAGGGTAGTTGAGGCCTGGACTGGGGCAATCTTGCTCAAGTCAGGATTGTCAAATTTGCATTTTCAGTAAACACAAAGTTTTTGGTATAATTGCAAATACTACGTGAAATATTATTTGCTCAATCTGCAACCCGAAGGCAACGTAACTTTTGTGACCCTCGTCTCAGCATCAGTTTCATATTTAAAATCCGAATAAGAATGCCTGCTTCATGGAGCTGTTAAATCCACGTGGAAGTCCATCTATTTAAAAGCATTAAATGAAATATTTCAAAAGAACGGCTGTTAAGATTAAGTTTCGGCCTGATTCTCTGCCTGGGGCTGGGGGCCTCGACCGCCCCCAAACGGGGCTCGGGGTTTCCGGGCGCTGGTCCCCATGTGCCCACCTGCTCCCCTCCCTCTGGAGGGGCTAGCCGGGGCACAAGCTCTGCGTCCCTCCGGGGCCTGTGTCGCGGGTCGCGTGGACTCCGCCAGCCCACCTTGAGCAGAGTGCGGCTCCCTAAGCGCAGTGCGGCTCCCTGAGCTGTTTTGGATCCTCCGGGCTTCCGGCTTCCGCCTTCCGGGCTGTCACGTGCCTCCGCTCACGTGACCGGCCCTTCTGTCATTCCGCTGCCGCTCCGGCTTCTTTCCACCTGGGCCGCCCTCAACGTCTCCTGGGTGCGGGGACGTCTGCCCTTGCCGGGGCCGCTCCGGCTGGAAACCTCGCTCGGCTCCGACTCGGCTGGCGCCCCCAGCCGGGCGGCGCCCCCGACGGCCCACACCGCCGCGTCCTCCTCCCTGCCGCCTTCGCGTGCGTTGTCGGGTCCCCTGGATTCGCGAAGTAAGCCCGCAGTCGCGCCGTTTCGTCTCCCGCCCCGGCCGGAGGGAGGCGACCCCCGCGCTTTCCCCAGCTTCTCTGGCGCCTGCTGCTTTCTCGCCGCGCAGGCCCGTCCAGCCCAATTGCGGCCCCGGGCTTCCAGATTTCTGTTCTTCCAGGCCTCAGCTGGGTTTACGGAACTGGAGCTCCTTCCCCGCGGGGGCAGGAATGGGGTTGGGGGGAGGACAGGTATACTGTATACTTTCCCCAGGATTGGGCCTCGGCCTCGGCCTGCTGCAGGTTCGAGTTGTTCGGGGACCCAGAGGGCCATCCGGAAGCACCTTCACCTACCCCGGGGGAGGCCGCTGCGCCTGAGTCCGCTCGGTGTTCAGGGTTCCAGCCTGACCCGGCCAGAGCCAGTTTTCCCTCCGCCCTACCTGTGTGTATTGCTTGGGTTGTTTAGGCAGCAAACCCTCAGATGTAGAGATTAAGTTCCAAGCTGACTAAGGTCATTGGGATTGCAGAATAGAATTTTGGGTATGGTTTTAGCTGCTTTGTGGCCGTGGCAGCGAACGTCTGTTCTGTGAACCAAAATCTGTATATTTCGTATCGAGAGAAAATCAGGCCTGAGCATTTACGCGTAAATTTAGAAGTGAGAATTACGTGAAAGCTCATTATTGTAGGTTGTTGTCACCAGACCAGAATCCCATTGTTGCTTGTACCTAAATTGTAATTGGTATTTGTCCCAAAACTTCCTCCCCAAATTGATTTTGAAAATACTCTGAACTTTGGTTGAAGAAAGAAAATTACATTCCCACCTTAGGGTTTTTAGTTTGAATGAGTAATTTTAGAAGGCACTTGTAGTAGTTTTGTTTTTTTTTTTTAAATAATGGTGCTTCAAAATGATGGTTAGTAAATGTAAAAGTAAATGGTCTTCTCTCTACCGTACAGGTTCTTATTTTTTTTCCGTGTCAGGAGAAACTTGTTCCCAGTTGTGTACGTTTAATCTGTATACCTATTTTATTGAAGCCAGACTTCTGATGTTAGTTTGAAGAACTTAAAAGAGTTACTTTGAAAAACCTTACTGCAAGATTAGTGCCAGTAATTAAAAAACTTTTCCTGGAAAAGTAAAAATCTTTAGAGAACACTTTTATGGAGCAGGGCATAATTAGGCAAATTTTGAAATCTAATGATTTTCATACTTAGGACATCTAATATATTTAATGTTTGAGTTGAATGGGGAGAATAAGGCGATAACGATGATGTTAATAACAATAATAGTGATAGCAGTAGTTGTTAAAAAATGGTAACACCTAGTATTCTCATGTTACTTTGCCTCAAAATTGCAGATCTGTTGAAAAAACATCCAAGATCATAACATTTAGATGACCAAAATGGATATCCGAGGTGCCGTAGATGCTGCGGTTCCGACGAACATTATTGCTGCCAAGGCTGCGGAGGTTCGGGCAAACAAAGTGAACTGGCAGTCCTACCTTCAGTAAGTACCGATTTGCTGTGAATCAGGGATAATCATGTGCTTTTGCATCGGACTTTTTCGTGATCATGCCTCAATGAGAGACGTGATGGAAAAATACTACCAGACATGGAAGAAAACACTTCCTCCTTAGAAGTCTTACCTGCCGTAGGGAGACCGGATAGTGTGGTGGAAGGAGCTAGAGGCTCTAGCAGGGGAGCAGAGCCCCTCAGAGCCCTTTTGATCTTCCATGTCTGGAAAGTTGTACCTTTCGAATGAGCGGGAGAGGTGGGAGGCGTGTTCATGGGATTTGGAGGGGGGAAGGGGAAGCCAGCCTGCCAGACTGGCTCGTTTTGCCTGGGTGATCAACGTGGGGAAGCCGGTGTTGCAGCATGGCTCATACAACTAGTAAAAGGTGTAGATGTTTGAATTCCAAGACCTGGGTTTGAAGTCTGGTTCTTCTGTCTACTAGTTTGGTAATCTTAGGGGAATCATTTAACTTCTTTGCAGTTCATTGAAGTAAAATGAGATGGGGAATACGGATCTCGCGGAGTTGTTGCTGAAATAGTATATTTAAAGGATTCGCACAGTTGAATATGTGCAATAGTATGTTGAATGCACTGTCGTAAATTTTAGTCCTTTTCCCTTCTTTCTTTTTTTAAAAATTTAATTAAATTGTCTTTGATTTACATCCAAATGAGCATCCAAATATAGTGCCACAATGATTTCAGGAGTAGATTCCTTCATGCCCCTTACCCATTTAGCCCATCCCCCCTCCCTCCACCCCTCCAGCACCCTCTGTTTTCCATATTTAAGAGTCTCTTATGTTTTGTCCCCCTCCCTGTTTTTATATTATTTTTGCTTCCCTTCCCTTGTGTTCATCTGTGTCTTAAAGTCCTCATAGGAGTGAAGTCATGTGATATTTGTCTTTCTCTGACTAATTTCGCTTAGCGTAATACCCTCTAGTTCCATCCACTTCCCTTCTTTTTTATATGTGTTAAGATTTAGCATGCTGGTGTTCTGTATTTATCTGTAAAGTAAGGGTTCGTTTATTCTTGACCATTATTTTATCATATTGACTTCATATCTGTTTTGGTATATTTATAACAGTGATTTATTAAGGAAATTCAGTTCAGATTTTCAGATACATTTTGAAAAACAAATCGAGGAATCTTTAGATTTATATTTAGGAGTCTGCTGTAAGAGGGACATACGGCGTACAACGATGATGCACTTATTTCGGTTTAGTCACTCATCAAACATTTATTGTCCACCTTTCAAGTTTGAGACCTATTTCGAGGCTTTGAGGCTTCAAAAAGATAAACTTACAGTCTGGTAGGGAAGTCAGTTATAGAAACATCATTTGGTATGTTAACTGAGAGAGTAGAAAGGTGCACCGGGAATGATGGGTGCACAGAAAAAGGACAGCTAATCCTCCCTCCAGGAAGTTTTTCTGGAGGGAATGTTCAAAGGTAGGGACTTAAAAGCAGCGTGCTGGGTGGGGAATAATACACGTTTTGGAGGCAGGCAGTGGGGTGGGCTGAGGCCGGAGAGGCAGCCGGGAGCCAATTGTGGAGGCTCCCCAAGGAGCACAGTTTTTTTTTTTTTAATTTTTTTTTTTCAACGTTTATTTATTTTTGGGACAGAGAGAGACAGAGCATGAACGGGGGAGGGGCAGAGAGAGAGGGAGACACAGAATCGGAAACAGGCTCCAGGTTCTGAGCCATCAGCCCAGAGCAGACGCGGGGCTCGAACTCACGGACCGCGAGATCGTGACCTGGCTGAAGTCGGACGCTTAACCGACTGCGCCACCCAGGCGCCCCAGGAGCACAGTTTTAAAATCCCTGTTGTAGGAGTTGGGAATGACCGATGTTTGTAAGTGGGAGTTGGATGTCAGGTTGCCTTTTGATTGGATTGTTCTCCTGACAAAACGTAGAGGGTGGATTTGTGGAAACAAACCTAGAGCTATGATGAGGCTGTAGCCGTATCCAGGCTGTTGGGATGGATAGGATTGGATAGATTTGAGAAAGTCTTTGCGATCGATTTAATCTATGAGGGTGAAAAAGAATCTAGGATGATTCTGGATTCCCACTTTAAGGGACTAGATTATTGTGGGGCAGGAGGAGGAGGGACTTTCTGATATTCTCTCTGTTCATCTATATCTTTATAATTTAAATTTAATTTAAATCCCCTGCAAAATTAGGATTTTGAGCTGTTTCCTAGTTTTAGTCCAGAGTGTGTTTGGACTAAAGAACAAGGGGTTTCATGTTTATAAAGCTTGTCCCTGTTTATAATCTAAATAGAATGGTATTATTATTAATCAGAAAGCACTGGCTGACTGGCAGAGGTTCCCTAGCATTGGCATCTGGAACATTTTTAGTTCCAGGGGGATATTTAATTGCTTTCTCTCTGTTCCTCCTTTTCAAAGGCCTCTGTACTACTAAGTTGTAGTCTCTCTCATTCTTTTCTCTGTCCTGTATTCTGCTGTCCGTCTCATGCGTTTCTTTTATAAAACCCTTCTACTTTGTACGTCTGTGCACAAATGTTCACCAAGTGTTAACTGTGTGCCTGCTGTTGAGCCCCACCGTCCTGAGACGTACACTTCCGTCTGCAAGTTCCTCCCTAGATCACGTGGCTCATTAACTCCCTTCAAGTGGGTGTCTGCCCGGGTGGCCTCAGAAAGGACTTCACTGTAATCTACCCAAAAGCTATTCTTTCCTCTGTTGTCACTTTCTAGCTCCTTACCCAGCTAAAGTTTTTTTCATAGCATTTAGTGTCCTGGCATTGTGTGCGTGCGTGTGTGTGTGTGTGTGTGTGTGTTAAAAAATTACTTATTTTTGTGTTTGTGTGTTTTTTGTTTTCCCCACTGCAGCCCAGGTTCAAAGAGGGATGTTTAATTCACTGCTTTGTCACCTGTTCTCACAGGTGCCTGACACACAGTAGGCTGCCTGTTGATCTTGGCTGGTTACATCATGAGTGAGCAGAGTAAATGTTGGGCAGTGGTGGAGACAAGTGTTTGGGAAAGGAGTACCTTACTTGGCTAAGTCACATACTGTTTCATGTTACTTTCATGGCAGCACTGTGACGTAAGGTTTTCTATCCCTGTCTTATGGAAGAGTAGATAGCCATTCAGATAGGTTAAATAACATGTACATACTGATGTAGGTTTTAACTAGTTGATTAAAATGATTTTTCTTTCTTTCTTGTTTTTTGTTTTTTGTTTTTTTTTTTTTTTTAGAGAAAGAGAGTGTGAGCAGGGGAGAGGGGCATAGGGAGAGAGAGGGAGAGAGAGAGAGAATCTTAAGCAGACTCCACACTCAGCGAGGAGCCCAGTGTAGGGCTCCATCCCCCGACCCTGGGATCTTGACCTGAGATGAAATTGAGTTGGGTGCTCAACTGAATGAGCCACCCAGGTGCCCCTAAAATGATTTTTCTTGAATGCCTCTACCTTGATGCCAGGTAGAACTGCCATTCAAGTTTGCAGTGACTGATATGAAGGAGTAAATGTGGTCAGATGTGTGCTTGAGAAAGCTGGCTGGCACTAGTAAGAGGGGTGTGGAGGAGGGGTGGATTGGAAGCAGGGAAACGTTTGGTGGCTTGTTACCTTAAGGCTGAGCTGTTCCAGAGGCAGAGAAGTTGAGAGGAGAGCGGTATTAGGTGGGTGGATCGTTAGGACTGGTGCCTGAGTGGTTGTAGGTCATGAGAAAAGAGACCCCCGTTCCTAACTTGCTAGGTTATGGGACTGTCAACAGAAGATTCAGAGACAAAAGAATTTAAGCAAGAAAAGAAAAAGGTTACTTACAAAAAAGGAAAGAAATTCAGACCTCGGAAGAACTGGCTTACTGCAGAAAACCACAATTATTTAAGTGGAAAAGAAAGCTGTGAAATGATAAGGTCACCAAAGGTAACCTTCACTGTACAGTTTTGTCATGGTAGAACACCACAACTTTTTCTCATGATTATCCTATATACAAAGGTTATAATATGCTTTAATTTGTTAGCATGGCAAAATCTGGGGGTGAAACTGTTTTAGCTGGGAAGTTCAGGCTTATGAAAAAGACCGTATGTATTTTGGGGCCAGAACTGGACCTTAATATCTTGGTCTACCCCAGGGTACAGAGTGCCTTTTTTCCTGCCTGGTGTATGAAGTGCTTAGCCACAGGGGAAGCAGGGCAAAGTGTCTTTTTTTTTTTTTTTTTTAAATTTCATTATCCCATTAGCCACGCTGGGATGGAATGTGGGTAGGGATATATGTTAGTGATCTCTGCTGTGCCCCTCAGGGTCTAGGGTGCTTGTGTGCTTGCTCTGTGGGAGGAGAGGTCCCCATGTGTAAGTGGGGACTGTGGGAGGTCGGCCTGGGCCGCAGCTCAGAGTGGCGCAGCTCAGACTGGGCCTGAACTCAGCAGCACGGAGGGTAGCAGGGAGCACTCAGGGAGGATTCAGGGAGTGCAAATGAAGACAGCCCCCCACAGAGCCTGAAGCACAGGGTAGGAGACAAGGAATCTGTGAAGAGCACTAATGAGAAGTGGCCTGAGAAGGGCAAGAAGAATCTGGAAGCTCAGGACGAGAGGGTCAAGAAATGGCCACATTGCCACCTGCCTCAGAGATCTGGAAAGATAAGGACTGGAAATTCCCCTTTGGGTTGGTAAGGAAGGGATTGTTGGAAAAATCCAGCAGGTGAGAATAGTTCACACACACACACACACACACACACACACACACGCACACACACAAAGAGCACATGCGAAAACAAAGTTACAGTGCTTGCAACTGAAGAACTGAAGGGCAGTAGATTCCAAAGTCTAGAAGCAAGTGAAAAGTATATAAAATAGTGTTTAGTAATAGTATATATAAAACCGAGAAGGGATAAAGTAAAACGCTGAGATTTTGAATACTCAAAAGTCGAGATCTTCTTTGGAGGAGGGTCGGGTTGTGGGGAGGGGTGTCAGGAAGTATGAAAGTTCAGCTCCCTTGTCTCCGGGAGGGCCCGGCTCTGAGGACCTCACCTTCCCAGACTCCCCTGTGTGCTCAGAAACCCGTTCTCTTCAGGACTTTGCCTGAGTCTGGGCTGGGCTCCTAACCTTTCGAATCCTGTGCCCCCCCGCCCCATCCCTGGTCTCCCCTGGGAGCGCTGCCTCCATTAATCTCCTGCACCCCAATCTCCGTGTCGAGACTTGCCACCAGGAAGCTGGCCCAAGACTTCTGAAAAAGGACTCCCATTTCTGTAACTGTGCATATGGTGAAACCTGCCTCAAATTCAGTGTTCCTTGGTTGGCCTTTTGTGGAACAGTAGCCTCTCAACATACTCCGGGGCAGGGGGTGGGGAAGGGCGGTTTTTTTTTTTTTTTAATTTTTTTTTCAACGTTTTTATTTATTTTTGGGACAGAGAGAGACAGAGCATGAACGGGGGAGGGGCAGAGAGAGAGGGAGACCCAGAATCGGAAACAGGCTCCAGGCTCTGAGCCATCAGCCCAGAGCCCGACGCGGGGCTCGAACTCACGGACCGCGAGATCGTGACCTGGCTGAAGTCGGACGCCTAACCGACTGCGCCACCCAGGCGCCCCAAGGGCGGTTTTTTAAACCACTCAGTTAAAAGACATCTATTTGAACGGCAAAGCGTATTACATTTTTTTAATTTTAAATTTGCATTTCTGTCATGCTTACATACGTCAGGTGATGCTTCTTGCTTTCATAACTGCTCAGTGGAGTCGGGCAGGTACCATTATAGTGGCCATTTTATCGGTGTGGCAAACATTGGTCAGAGGGATAGAGACCTGCCGAAGTTTCACAACTGCAGTTGGAACTCTTCCTCAGACTGGCACAAATTCCACACTTTCCCCACCAGACTGATGGTCCGACAAGGTCGGTGTGTGTCCTGAAGTGTCAGAGACTAACAAGGATGTTTTGCTGACAGATCTTTTCACAAGGAAGGGTCAGACGGGGGGTTGCTGTGGCACATTTGTGTCGTTGATGAGTGTGTCTGTGGCGAGGCTGGGTTGGAAGGGAAGGTGACGATGGTTCCGTGGTGATGATACTGAGTGTATCTCAGTATGACTCTCTTGATTGGAATCTCACTGAAGGAAAGAAGTTGGGAGAGAAAAGGAAGATTCCAAGGACTGAGCTTGGAGAGAAGTCTTGCGCTGCGAGGAGCCACTGAGGAAGGAACCCCTGAAAGAAGTGGGAGGAAAACCGGATAGTGTGGGGTGATTGCTGTTAGGACAGCGTGTCCGGAGGGAGAGGTTATTTTTTGAGAGAGGGGGAGGAGCTCATTTTTCTGAGTCTGGAGGGAACATGAGAAAATGCCGGAGGCAGTGATCGTAGAAGTTTGTGTAAAGTGGCTTTGGTCTTGATGGAGTGGAAAGCCGAGTGAATTGTGTGGCTGGGAGGGGGGTAGGGTGAGACTTCGGACGGTGCTAAGAGGCGTCAGTTATTCATTGCTTCCTGGGCCAGGCGCCGCTCTAACCACCTTATGTGGGTTATTTAATTTCATCCTCCGATCAACCCCTACTGGCAGTGTGGACGTTGTTTCCATTTTGCAAATGAATTCACTCAGGTCCAGAGAGGTTGCATGTTCCATACCTGGTGGAGCTAAGCTTGCACCCGGGTCTGTGTGATGCAGGGGCCTGTGCGCCGACCCCGGTGGTTAACCACCGAGGAGAGAGGAGAAAGATGGGGAATTCCTGTGTCCCTTCGTCGCAGTGTCAACTCAACTCTTTCTGAAAAAAACCAACTTCCTCTTACTTTCTAGGGGGCAGATGATTTCTGCTGAAGACTGTGAATTCATTCAAAGGTTTGAGATGAAAAGAAGTCTTGAAGAGAAGCAAGAGGTGCTCCAAACTGAAGGCAGTCAGGTGATGGATATGAACATATTACGAACACCTTCCTGTGTCACTGAAAATTCGAGAACAAAATTTTAATGACTTGGTGATCTTTCTTTGTAGGTGTGCGTCATGATTTATCTAAAAATCCTTTTTTATTGGAAGACGTTTAAATACTTTCCAGTTTTGTTTGTTCATTTTGGGAAAATGTTATGTTGGGTGTGTTTATTTAGTTTATTCCTCCACCCCATTTTATATGTTTTTCATGGCACTTTCCTTATGGTTCCACACATAGGGTTTTTCTTTTTAATTTTTCTTTAAATTTAGTTAACATACAGTGCAATATTGGCTTCAGGAGTAGAATTCAGTGATTCCTCACTTACGTACAACACCCAGTGCTCATCCCAACGAGTGCTCTTTTTAAAATTTTTTTTTTTCAACGTTTATTTATTTTTGGGACAGAGAGAGACAGAGCATGAACGGGGGAGGGGCAGAGAGAGAGGGAGACACAGAATCGGAAGCAGGCTCCAGGCTCTGAGCCATCCGCCCAGAGCCCGACGCGGGGCTCGAACTCACGGACCGCGAGATCGTGACCTGACTGAAGTCGGACGCTTAACCGACTGCGCCACCCAGGCGCCCCACGAGTGCTCTTTTTAATACCCATCACCCGGGGCACCTGGGTGGCTCCTTCGGTTAAGCGTCCGACTTCAGCTCAGGGTCATGATCTCATGATCCGTGAGTTTGAGCCCTGCATCGGGCTCTGTGCTGACAGCTCGGAGCCTGGAGCCTGCTTCAGATTCTGTGTCTCCCTCTCTCTCTGACCCTCCTCCATTCATGCTCTCTCTCTGTCTCAAAAATAAATAAACATTAAAAAAAATTTTTAATACCCATCTAGCCCATTTCCTACCCACCTCCCACTGTTAACCCTCGGGTCTCTATTGTTAACAGTCTCTTATGGTTTGTTTTCCCCCCTCTTCTCTTTTTTCCCCTTTTTCCCATGTGTTCATTAATTTCACATATGACTGAATTCGTATGGTATTTGTCTTTCTTTGATTGACTTATTTCATTCAGCATAATACATTCTAGGTCATCCACATCATTGCAAATGGCAAGATTTCATTCTTTTTTGATGGCTGAGTAATATTCCATTGTGTGTATATATATCACATCTTCCTTATCCATTCATCAGTGGATGGACATTAGGGCCGTCTCCATAATTTGGCTGTTGTCAGTAGTGCTGCTGTAAACATTAGGGTGTGTGTACCCCTTTGAATCTGTGTTTTGTATCCTTTGGGTAAATGCCTAATAGTGCAATTGTTGGATCATAGGGTAATTCTATTTTTAGTTTCTTTTTCTTTTAAAAAAAAATTTTTTTTAACGTTTATTTATTTTTGAGACAGAGAGAGACAGAGCATGAATGGGGGAGGGTCAGAGAGAGGGAGATACAGAATCTGAAACAGGCTCCAGGCTCCGAGCTGTCAGCACAGAGCCCGACGCGGGGCTCGAGCTCATGGAGTGCAAGATCATGACCTGAGCCGAAGTCGGCCGCTTAACTGACTGAGCCACCCAGGCGCCCCTCTTTTTCTTTTTTTTAAAGTTTATTGTGTGAGAGAGAGAGAGAGAGAGAGAGAGAGAGAGAGAGCACGCGCGTGCGAGTGGGGGAGGGGCAGAGAGAGAATCCCAAGCAAGCTCTGTGCCCTGAGGTGGTGTCTCATTGTGTTTTGATTTGTATTTCCCTGATGATGAGTGATGTGGAGCATCTTTTCGTGTGTGTGTGTGTGTGTGTGTGTGTGTGTGTGTGTGTTGGCCATCTGGATGTCTTTGGAAAAGTGTTCACGTCTTCTGCCCATTTCTTGACTGGGTTGTTTGTTTTTTGGGTGTTGAGTTTGATAAGTGGATAGATACTGGATACTAACCCTTTATCTGATATGTCATTTGCAAATGTCTTCTCCCATTCTGTCAGTTGCCTTTTAGTTTTGCTGATTGTTTCCTTTGCTGTGCAGAGTTTTTTATCTTGATGAAGTCTTAACAGTTCATGTTTGCTTTTGTTTTCCTTGCCTTTGGTGATGTGTCTAGTAAGAAGTTGCTGTGGCTGAGGTCAAAGAGGTTGCTGCCTGTTTTCTAGGATTTTGATGGTTTCCTGTCTCACATTTAGGTCTTGTATCCATTCTGAATTTCTTTTTCTGTATGGTATAAGCAAATGGTCCAGGTTCATTCTCCATGATGCTGGCCAGTTTTCCCAACACCATTTGTTGAAGAGACTGTCTTCTTTCCACTGGATATTCTTTTTCTTATTTTGTCAAAGATGAATTGACCGCATAGTTGTGGATCCATTTCTGGGTTTTCTGTTCTGTTCTGTTGATCTATGTGTCTGTTTTTGTGCCGGTACCATATTGTCCATACATTAGATAGACAACAGCTATCTAATGTAGCTTGAAATCCAGAATTATGATGCCTCCAGTTTTGTTTTTCTTCTTCAGGATTGCTTTGGCTACTCAGGGTCTTTTGTAGTTCCATACAAATTTTATGATTGATTGTTCTAGCTCTGCGAAGAATGCCGGTCATATTTTAATAGGGATTACATTTAAATGTGTAAATTGCTTTGGGTAGGATAAACATTTTAACAGTATTTGTTTTTCCAATCCATGAGCATATGGAATGCTTCTCCATGTCTTTGTGTCCTTTTCAATATCTTTCAGAAGTCTTCTATAGTTTTCAGAGTATGGATTTTTCACCCCTTTAGTTAGGTTTATTCCTACATATCTTATTATTTTTGGTGCAGTTGTAAATGGGATCATCAGGGATATTGGCCTATAATTCTCCTTTTTAGTGGGGTCTTTGTCTGGTTTTGGAATCAAAGTAATGCTGGCTTCATAGAATGGGTTTGAAGTTTTCCTTCTATTTGTTTTTTGGAGTGGTTTGAGAAAAATAAGTATTAACTCTCCTTTAAATGTCTGACTGAATTCCCCTGGAAAGCCATCTGGCCCAGGAATCTTGCTTGTTGGGAGATTTTTAGTTACTGATTCAATTTCTTGCTGGTTATGGGTCTGTTCAAACTTTCTATTTCTTCCTGTGTCAGTTTTGGTAGTTTGTGAGTTTCTAGGAATTTGTCCATTTCTTCCAGATTGCCTAGTTTGTCGGCACATAATTTTTCATAGTATTGTCTTATAATTGTTTGTATTTCTGTGGTGGTGTTTGTGATCTCTCCTCTGGTTTCATGATCTTATCTATTTGGGTTCTTTTTTTTTTTTTTTGATAAGTCTGGCTAGGGATTTATCAATTTTGTTTATTCTTTCAAGGAACTAGCTCTTAGTTTCATTGATCTTTTGTACTGGTTTTATTTTTGTTTCTATATCATTTATTTCTACTCTGATCCTTATAAATTACCCTTCTTCTGCTGGTTTTAAGCTTTATTTGCTGTTCCTTTTCTAGCTCCTTTGGGTGTAAGGTTAGGTTGTGTATTCTGCTTCCTGAGATAGGCCTGAATTGCAGTATACTTTCCTCTGAGGACTGCCTTTGCTGCATTCCAAAGGGTTGGGAGTGTTGTTTTCATTTCCATTGGCTTCCATGTATATTTTAATTTCTTCTTTAATTTGCTGGTTAACCCATTCATTTTTTAGTAGGATGTCTTTAACCTCCATCTATTTGAGGGCTTTCCAAATTTTTTCTTGTGGTTGATTTCAAGTTACATAGTGTTGTGATATGAAAATATGGATGGTATGAGCTCAATCTTTTTGTGCTGCTGAGGGCTGATTTGTGACCCAGTATGTGATCTATTCTCAAGAATGTTCCAGGAGTGCCTGGGTGGCTCAGTTGGTTAAGTGTATGACTTCAGCTTGGGTCATGATCTCATGGTTCATGAGTTTGAGCCCTGCATCAGGCTCTGTGCTGACAGCTCAGAGCCTGGAGCCTGCTTCAGATTCTGTGTTTCCCTCTCTCTCTGTTTCTCCCTCGCTCATGCTCTGTCTCCCTCTCAAAGATAAATAAATATTTTTTAAAAATTAAAAAAAAAAAAGAATGTTCCATATGTACTTGGGAAGAATATGTATTCTGTTGCTATAGGATGAAATGTTTTGAATATACCTGTTAAGTCCATCCGGTCCAGTGTGTCATTCAAAGCCATTGTTTCCTTGTCGGTTTTTCTGCTTAGATGATCTGCCCATTGCTGTAAGCAGGGTGTTAAAGTCCCCTACTATTATTGTATTATTAATAATGAGTTTGTTTATGTTTGTGATTGATTTGTATATTTGGGTGCTCTCAAGTTGGGGGGCAAAAAATATTTACAATTGTTTGATCTTCTTGATGGATAGACCCCTTAATTACGATATAACGCCCTTCTTCATCTCTTGTTCCAGTCTTTATTTCGAAGTTTAGTTTGTCTGATACAAGTACGGCTAATCCAGCTTTCCTTTGATGTCCATTAGCATGATGGATGGTTCTCTGTCCCTTTACTTTCAATCTGTAGGAGTCTTTAGGTCTAAAATGAGTGTCTTGTAGGCAGCATATAGAGGGGTCTTTTTTTTTTTTTTATCCATTCTGATACCATATGTGTTTTGATTGGAGCAGTTAGTTTATTAAAATTCAGAGTAATTATTGAAAAATATGAACTTAGAGCCACTGTGTTGCCTGTAGAGTTGGTGTTTTTTGGTGATGTTCTCTGTTCATTTCTAGTCTCTGTTGCTTTTGGTCTGTTTTGTTTTGTTTTGTTTTTTCTCTACTCAAAGAGTCCCCCTTAGAATTTCTTGCAGGGCTGGTTTAGTGGTCACAGACTTCTTTAGTTTTTCTTTGTCTGAGAAACTCTTTATTTCTCCTTCTATTCTGAATGACAGCCTCGCTGGGTAAAGGATTCTTGGCTGCATGTTTTTCCCATTCAGCACGTTGAATGTATCCTGCCACTCTTTTCTGACCACGCTTCTGTGGACAGGTTTGCTGCGAACCTGATCTGTCTTCCCTGTAGGTTAAGGACTTTTTTCCCTTGCTGCATTGAGGATTCTGTGTATTTTGTGGATTTGATATATCTTGGCTGTGGTATACTTGTTGAATTTAATTGGGAGTTCTCTGTGCTTCTTGGATTTTGATGTCTGTGTCCTTCCCCAGATTAGGGAAGTTTGCTCACATCAACATTCCGCCCCTTTTTCTCTCTCTTCATCTTCTGAGACTTCTACGATACAAATGTTATTCCTCTTTAATAAGTCACTGAGTTCTCTAAGTCTTGAATCGTGATCTTCGGCCTCTGTATCCCTCCTCTCTTCAGCTTCACTATTTTCCATAATTTTGTCTTCTGTATCACTCATCTGCTGCTCTGCCTTGTCCATCCTCGCCGTCATGGCATCCATTCGAGATTGCATCTCTGTTATAGCATTTTTAATTTTAGCCTGACTAGATTTTAGTTCTTGCCTCTGTAGAAAGGGATTCTCTGGTGTCTTCTATTTTTTTTCAACCCCAGCTAGTATTCTTACAATTGTGGCTTTATTTTTAGTTTATTTTTATTTTTTGAAAGAGGGGGTGCAAGTGAGTGAGGGAGGGGGAGAGAGAGAGAGAGAGACAGAGAGAGACAGAGAGAGACAGAGAGAGAGAGAGAAGCAGGGCTCATCCAAAGTGGGGCTTGAGCTTATCTGATTCAGGACTAGAACTCAGGAACTGTGAGATCATGACCTGAGCCAAAGTCAGATGCTTAACCGACTGAGCCACCCAGGCTCCCGTAATTGTGGTTTTAAATTCTATTTCAGACTTTTTCTGCATTTCTGAGACATTTTTTAGAATAGATTCCTAGAAGGGCAATTAAGTTTCAAAGTAAGTATTATTTTTAAAGTTGCTTAACTGTTTTTTTTTTTTTTTTTAGAAAAAATTTTCCACTTTGTATTCTTACTAGAATGTGATGCAATTCTGCTGTCCCTCAGATTTTCTGATATTGGGTGGGGGGGCTACTGATGACTGAAGGAGCTTACACACAACTCAGCCCGATTCTCACAACAATCCTGGGAAATCTGTGAGGAGACATACTGATGGCTATGTTTTTTGTTGAATTCCAGAGATTGTCACACAGTTGGTAAGATGTAGGATGGGGACAGGTCATAGCCTTCTGATTCTAATTCCTAGTACTCTTGTCACTGGCGTCTTCTGCTTCCCAGTAAATGCAAAAACAAAACAAAAATAAAAGCCAAAATCAATGATAATTTTTGGTTGTCTTCATAGCTTCATGTTTATGTGATGGGCAATCAAGAGTTATCGTTGCTAGGTCTATTTAAAAGTAGTAAACGTTTGGAAATTTATCACTAAAAATGATCAAAACTCTGATGCAAGTCATAGTACGTTCCTCCCCTACTTCATCACAATATTTGTAAAGCATGTGCATATTCTATAATTGAAATCTTTTAGTTAATAGCATTTGTGTTATAATTTGTGCAAGAGAAATATTTTACTGAAATTCCATTAAAATGTTGTGTTTGTAGTTGAAAATGAGAGTTCACATTACTTTCATTTTTTTTCCAGTGTGCTAAAACATTTATAAATTTGATGACTCACATCTCCAAAGAACAGACAGTTCAGTATATACTAACTATGGTGGATGATATGCTGCAGGTAGGTATATTCTTTATTTAATCCATTTGGTGACTTCGTTGTTTTATATCCTGCGCGGTAACAACATTTTTGTACGGTGTCACTTATACCGTGGATTTCTTCTGAGTTGGAATTGCTAGTAGTGTTAAAGATGGGAATGCCTCCACACAGGCTCTTTTTGTTGTTTTTCAGGATGTCCAGTAATTAATTTGTATTTTTTTCATAATACCTCGGAGTTCTTTGTTCAACACCAGTGACATTGGGTAAATCATTTGAGGCTCTCTGGGTGCTCTGTGTCCTTCCAGGCAATGTGGCTGCTTCTCTTTCAGTCATTCAGCAGATTTCGGTGCCCCTGCCGTCCCCCAGGCCGGTGCCAAGCGCTAGGGGTTCAGTGCTGAATGTGGGCAAGGTGCTTCCTCTCAAAGATCCTGTCTCTTTGGAGAACATTTTGCTTATCATCTGAGACTTTTCCAGTTGCGTAAAGTTCCTATTTACTGTTTTACTGTCCCCGAACACAGAGGAGCCTCCCTTATTCATAGTTTTGTATGTTCCACCAGAGTATAGTCTAGATTGAAATTGTTGGTGTGCAGAGCAGTTCTTTTTGAGAAAGGCCACCTGGGCCGCTAAATCCGGTGCCTGACCACTTCTTCGGGACTTGAGGAACGGTGCCAGTGTGGTTGCTTGTGTGGAGCGTTGTTCTGTCTGTTCTGAAGCACTTACTGATGGCCTGCTATGTGCCAGGCGCTGTACGAATTGTTAGTGAAGGTACAAAAGTTCAGAAGAATGGTGTTGTCTACCTAGGACCCTCATTTATAGGAATGTAGTGATTTTATAATGCGGGTAAGGATCCGTGTCCAGCCTGGGCTGATGCAGGCCTGTCTGAGAATGACTTCGGTCTCTCTCAGCGCTTTTTTCTTCCATAAAGTTAAGAAAAATGAGGAATGATGTGGTCTGCCTTGGTTATCCTGCTTACAGGATAGGATTGCACCTAGAATGAGCAGGCTTGAGTTCGCGTGCAGACTTTGCTTTTATTTATATGTGTATACGTATATACAACACACACATGCGTGCACACACAGATATCCTCTTTTATACATATATCTGTAAATTAGAAACCAGGAGTTCACACTATCTCCAGTTTGATTTCAGCTCAACACCAGAGTTCATTCGAGTCTGCCCTTCCCATGTTCGTAACTCTCTTCTGTGACAGTGAGATCGTGAGCCCTTCTTATCCTTTGTGTATTTACTTGTCTGTTCCGCCCTATAGCACAAGGAAAGGAGTTTCAGAATTGCTGACCCATACAACTGTGAAAAATGAGCCCTTTAACTAGAGTTCAGTATTTGTTTGCAGTACTTTTTCTTTAAGCCGAGAATATGTAGTCAGAGTATTGTATTCAGAATATATTATTTTTCTTGAAATACAGTTAGATTCACTTGTGTTTTTGGGTATTCTACTTATCTTTTTCTCATTCTTGTTGATTTTTATTATTTTTGATTATGTAAAACACCAACATGCTTCCAGAAGTCAAAACTATATAGAAAAGATACAATCAGAGAAATGTCACGAAACCCTAACTCCCCATCCCTGCATTCCCACCTATCTTTTCTTAGGTAACCAGTATCATAGATTTCTGGTTTTATCCTTCCTGGTTCTTTTCTCCCCTTGCAGAAATAGTCAGATACATGTAATGCGTTTTTTTTTTTTTCCTTCTCTTTCTTTTTTTTTTTTTTCAAATGTTTATTTTCAAGAGATAGAGCATGAGCAGCGGAGGGGCAGAGAGAGAGAGGGAGACACAGAATCCGAAGCAGGCTCCAGGCTCCGAGCTGTCTGCACAGAGCCTGACGCGGGGCTCAAACCCAGGAACTGTTAAGGTCGTGGCCTGAGCAGAATTCGGACGCTTAATGACTGAGCCACCCAGGCGCCCCATATTTGTGTCTCTTTCTTACAGAAAACATGTAGTAAATATAATCTCTTGTATTTTGCTCGTCTCACCTAACAGAATATGCCAGAAATCATTCCATGTCAGTTCATAGATATTTCCCATATTCTCTTTTGATAGCAACAGAGTACTGTTTTGTTTTGTTTTTTCTTTTAAGATTTTATTTTTAAGTAATCTCCACACCCAGTGTGTGGGGCTCAAATTTCCAACCCCAAGACCAAGCGTCACACGCTGACGGCCAGCCAGGTGCCCCGCAACGAAGGACTCTTTTAGTGGATGTACCGTGGTTTACTTAATAGTCTCTGATGTGATGGACATTGAGGTTGGCTCATATACATATTTATTTTGGTTTAATAAAGTTTTTATTATTTTTTTCATTTTTATTTTTTTTAAGAAAGAGAGCAAGTGAGCAGGGGAGGGGGCAGAGGGAGAGAAAGATAATCCCAAGCAGACTCCACTCTCAGTGTGGAGCCCGATGCACAGCTTGATCCCACATCCCTGGGATGGTGACCTGAGCCAAAATCGAGAATCATTTTTGATCGAGAATCATCATTGAGTGGCTCAACTGACCGAGCCACTCAGGCGCCCCTAAAGTTTTACTTTTCAAAATGTCCATTGGTTTGGGCCTCCTCATGAATCTTCACCAGCAGCTGGGACATCCCTGACTCTGGTGTTTCTGGTGTAAATTACTTGGGCTCTGTTTTGAAACCAGTTAAGAAGTCCTCTATAAGGAGCCCTTGAAGGACTTCTCTGGCCGGGGAGCCACGACTTTCAGTCTCAGCTAACAACTAGGGTTTATAACCTTTATAGTTGGGAAGTTGTTTGGGGTCTGTCATGTGTCAAACGAGACAAGGTTATTGGGCATGTCCCAAACTTTGCCTTTGGACCACGTCTTTTTGGCTTTGCCTTCAGATTTGTTCACTGGGTCTTTGTCTTTCTTGGCCAACTTTATGGTATCTTCTTCTTCTCATTGTCCTTGGGTGGTACCACAGAGCTGGGGGGAGCACCCTTGCTAAGATGTTGGACGAAAAGTGGTTCCAACGTTTTGTAATTAGAAATAATGAGGCCCAGAATAACCTTGTGCAAATGTATTTTCAGATGGTCAGGAATGTACTTCATGGTAAATGGCTAGAAATAGGATTGCTGGGTAGAAGAGAACTACATACGTAGTTTTGTTAAGATATTGCCATATAGGGGCGCCTGGGTGGCTCAGTCGGTTGGGCGTCCGACTTCGGCTCAGGTCACAATCTCACGGTCCATGAGTTCGAGCCCCGCGTCGGGCTCTGGGATGATGGCCCGGAGCCTGGAGCCTGCTTCCGATTCTGTGTCTCCCTCTCTCTCTGCCCTTCCCCTGTTCAAGCTCTGTCTCTCTCTGTCTCAAAAATAAATAAACGTTAAAAAAATTAAAAAAAAAAAAGATATTGCCGTATAATTCCATTTTGCAGTCCCACCTACGTACGGGAACACCTGTGTCTCTACAGCCTTGCCAACAGAGGGCATAGTCAGACTTTCACATTTTTGCCAGTCAAGATGGATCTAAAGTTGAACACCTTCAGATGTATAGTTTTATTTCTTCTCCTTGTTGGCCTGTTTTTATGAAGTGTATGTGGAGGGATGAGACTTAGGTAGCTGACGTTATCCTCGGCTATTGATTAAGCATATTTTATAAATTGGTTTTATTGGTACAATTTTAGTAACCTTGAGAAATTTGCACATGACCCCTATCGTTTGACTACTTGTGCTGTTTAAAAAATACTGTAATTATAAATGTCATCCTGTTTTTAACCAGTCATTTCATTCTTTAATACTTCTGGGTAGAATACTTTCGGACAGAATTGCTTGCTTTTCCTCATGTGTTTAGTGTTGGGCACATAATTTTGAAGATGACGTTGTTTTCTGTGTTCAGCTATCAACAGGAATTGTTAAATGCCTTTGAGAAGAAGGGCTTTTCCCATATTCTCTTAAAGGTTTGTGACTTGAGTACCTGGAACAGTGATGAATGGAAGATGCATTTTTAAGCAGGAATTGAAACCACAAAGGAGTAGTCAAGGGAGATGGGTTTTAAACTTACTTAAAATGTAAAAAATAGTGTCTCTTCTTTCTGTATGTAGGGTCCTTGGTTTATTTGTGTGCCAATGATAATTACTGTTTTAACTTGAGAAATAATCCACTAATGGAGTAAATGATGACTTCTGCAAATTTTGAATCCCTTGATAAAATCATTACCATACCTTGCAATTGTTATTCCAAACTGTGATGACTCATTACTTAAGGAGATGTTAGTCTGCTCCCCAAATAGGTAGGTAACTGTAAGCACAGACCAAAATTTAAGCCAATGTGTTTAAAAAGAACTAAATGATCTGAAAATTGTTTATGTTTTTTTGTGATTTTACCAAATATTGCTACTTGGCAACCATATTCATTTAGTGAATCAGAAAGTATATTTCAGCCAGTGAAATGTACAGAAAACTTAGGTGAGAGGTAGCGTTTGCATGATGTGAACTAAGAATTAGTACTTCCTCAGATCCTGTCTATCTGCCTAGTGTTCCATGCTGTGTTTTGCTGTCTTTATCCGCCCTGCTTTTCTGTTGTGATTGTCAGGAGTAACCCGATTTTATTGGTGTGGAGACAACATTGGGAAGCGCAGGTCAGAGGTGCAGGCTCAGAAGTGTAACTTAAATTGCTTTTCCCCGCATGGGTGCGGTCTGCTAGCTTGGCTCGCTTGACTTAAAGCTAATCATGATAATTAAAGGTATTTTGAAGTATCTATGCCTGCCCCGTCACCACCCCCGACCCGTAATAGCAACTGGCAGAAGAAGACACACTGATGGGACCCAGAACGAAAAGTTGAGAAACAGTGCACAATAGAGAGATGCATTCTGATGAGTGATATCATTTCTTTTCTTGTTTCAGGAAAATCACCAGCGGGTCAGCATTTTCTTTGACTATGCTAAGCGCAGCAAGAACACCGCCTGGTCCTACTTTCTACCGATGCTGAACCGCCAGGATCTCTTTACTGTTCATATGGTAAATTTTGAATTGATTAAATTTCTGATCTGGGGAAGAAACACTCTTGGGCTGTTTATGACTTAGTAACCTTCCAGTTCCCCCGAGGAGTAATGGCTGTGATGTTAATTTTTCAAAGCAGTGTTTCCATTGATGTTTAGTAATCTGGGGGTATCGGGAAGACAGAGGAGATGGGATTGCTCTGAGACAGTTAAAGTTTCATAGAGTATTTGTTGAGCTCATGAGCATGAAAGCCTTTGGTAATTGCACGTGCAAAGAGCTTTTGATTGTCTGTGACAGGATTAACCACATTTTGCTATAGAAATTAAATTTTGTTTAGTTGTTTTTTTAATGTTTATTTTTGAGAGAGAGAGAGAGAATATCTTTATTTTTTTTATTATTATTATTTTTTAATATCTTAAGCAGGCTCCACGCTCAGTATGGAGCGTGACGAGGGGCTTGATCCCACGACCCTGGGATCGTGACCTGATCTGAAATCAAGAGCTGGACCCTCAACTGACTGAGTCACTGAGGTGCCCCCCAAAGTATATTTTCACAAGTGAAATACAAACTTGTTTTGGAGGAGTTGGGTATTTAAAAAAAAATCTTGCAGCAGAATGGTTATAAGAGTCCTACTTTTTAAGGTATATGATGTGATTTTTAGAATCAACATGGCATTCAAGTACATTTCTTATTTTTCAGGCAGCAAGAATTATCGCAAAGTTAGCAGCTTGGGGGAAAGAACTGATGGAAGGCAGTGACTTAAATTATTATTTCAATTGGATAAAAACTCAGCTGAGTTCACAGGTAAAAGACACTTTTTCTAGTATCTTTGAAAGGAATGTGACGCCCATATACAGATTCTTATGGTAATTGTATAAATGGTAAATAAAAAAAAAGTTATATTCAAATAATGCCATTTTGAACTACTCTTAGGTATGGTAGTATGCTTCACTTTTTCTTTCTTTGACCACCTTCAGCTCAAACTTTTCTGTCTTTTCTGCCACTTGGGGTTTTCCATTCATGCTTTTCAGTGGATGAGGAGGATCTTCCTTCCTGGGGGCTAACCACCATCACACAGGCGGGGGACCGGAAAGGACTTGCACGGCTCCAGAGGGGGGACTCACGTAAGGCTTGCAGGAAGTGGAAAGAAACAGTGTAGCAGGAGGTGGGGTGCAGGCCCCGAGGCTAAAAGACTTCAGGTGCAGCTCCCACGTCTGCCGTGGGACCCCAAACCTCCGAGATTTGTGCGGGAAATCTTGGATTTGGGGAGAGCTCTTCATTAGTCTGTAGCTGGGATCGTTTATGTCCTTCTGGTCACAGGGTCAGGGCAAGCTGTCGACCAGTTACACCAATAAACAGAATGGCGCCGGGTGCCGCCAGGGACTTTTAAACTGCAGACAACCCGTTGCAGATCAGGGGTCCATCCAGTTATTCTAGTCTTGCCCAAGAGTCCATACAAGGCTGCCAGGCGGCCCCCGGGTAAGCCTGGAGCTGCCGGGTCTAGCTGCGAGGTAACCGTTACTGTGGCACCTTCCCAGATGCACCGTATCATCGTGGGATTGAACATTTGGGCCTGAGGTTAGATGTGAAGCCTGCTTGTGGCCATCTTGGTTGCTTTCAGACCTTTCTAGCTCTACTTCCCCACGGAGGAAAACAGCTTGCTGGTTGAATGACGGGAAAAATGAAAGGTTTTCTGTTTTTGTCGTCATGGTTCCCTAGAACACGCAAAAGATAAGACAGTTATGGTGGCTCAGTGGTTCTTTCCTTTAGGCTTCAGTGACTGATAGCAGTGATAAGAGGGAGACTGGGAATGGTTCGCAGAAGAGGGGTGAAGCGAAGGTGGGTGGGGGAGGAGTACTGTGGGGAAGAAAGGGTAGAAGAGAACAAGATTTTGGCGTGGGGATGGCTCCCGTGAGGAATGGGACCAGGAAAGTAATACTGGTAGTGTATTGTCTGCGTTAGAAATAAACACAGTAGTGTTTTGTCTGTGTTACAAATAAAGGTCTATTTGAAATAAAGTTTTGGAAAGTTGTAATTCAGATTTCAGGTGACATTTTAATAGATTCTAATTTGAGGCATAAGAGAGAGACACGATGACATTTTCCTTGGGTTTATTTTTTGTCTTATCGTTGTTTGCCTTTTTGGGGAACTCTAATTAATTGCCTTTTATGTTTGGACAGGGATATTTTGGAGTGTCTTGAACACGATTAAGTATTTTTTATATCAGTAGCATAAATTTTAAGTCTTTTTGGCTTAATTTTTAAAAGTATTTTTTCTAAGAGCCACAGATTGGCAGGTTTTACTGAATTTGTGAGGTATTTAAAAAACACACTTAGAACACGAAAAATAGGGAACACGAAAAATAGGTGTGCAAGGATGAGATTTCAAATTTCTAAGCGTATGGCATTTGGGATCCGAACGCTTAAGCTTCCCCTCTCCCCTCCCTTTTTTTTTTTCTTTTTTGAAATTAGTCCTTCCTTTGAACAAACTTTATTTGTTTTAGCGTTAGCTTTATGGTGATGATAGTGAGGCTCTATTGTAACTGGATTCATAAAATGAAAATTGGTAGGAAGAATGTATACTGCAGTTTGCCACTAACATTTTGGGTTGCTTCATGCTAGATTTTTCCTCGCAAGAATAACATTTATACCATGCCTCGCAGATGATTTGTCGCTTCTGGAATGATTACGGTTATAACTGTGTCCAGGAAATATCCTTATCATCGCTAGTGGAAGCAAAATATTTCAGTGTCTAGAACAGTTTTCATTAGAACTAAGCTTCTTGGTATTAGATGAATGCTTTTCTTTATCTTTCTGGTGCATTCTTTTTTATCACCTAGTCTTTGGCTTTCTTTGGTTATGGTATCGCGTTTCTGCTTTGCACGTCCTGCTACGAGGTGACTCTTCAGAGTGCCAGGCCCCGTCTGGCTTTGCTTCTCAGAGTCTGGTCACTCCTTCTGCTAGGATCTGAACTGCATTGTCTTTCTTGCCACGGGCAGACACTTCTTCCACAGCCTTCTATCAGGGTCCAATTACCGACTTCTTGTTTAAAGAATGAAACAGGATTATTTGGGATTCTGTTTGCTACTTTGCTTAAATGTCATGTGATGGCACTGTATCTGGAAGGTCTCTTCTTTTCTACCATCGTTAGTGTTTTCTCTCTCATAAAAAGGACCACAGTTTCATAATTTTAATAGAAATACATTTTCAAAAGTCCAAAATAGTTGCAAGTTTGGGTTTTTGGTTGACTTCATAGTGACATGTAGGAACTTTTTCTTTTTTGGTAGTTTAAGCATCGTATATAGGTTGGAGGGCTTCATGCCTGGCATTTAGTACATAATAAATAAAATTAGTTTGAATAAAACAATAAAAATATCCTTTCAGAAATTCATTACCACTTTTCTCTTGCACATTTAGCCTTTGACTTTCTACCTTTCCTTTAGTCATTTCTGTAAGTCATTTAGACATTATGTAACGTGTGAATTTCTGATTGTCATTATAAACTTACTAGCATTGCTATGGATAATCTAATTTTAAGTTCTGTGTAGTATCTTCCCATTAATTAGGCACCTGTTTTGAAAGCATTGCCACAGAAAAGAGTTTAGGTAGTTCAGCTTAAGACAATCATCTTACTTGAAAATCAGTTCAATAAGTAAATCCTGAGACTTGGAAATTTGCACCAGCTTCACTTAATGAAATTTAGCTGGAGCTTAGTATTCAGTTTATTATTGTTCCTTTTTTAATTATTAAGTTATCTGGGAGAGTGTAATATTTAGAGTATTTCATGTCGCCCCCATGCTTTTTATTAGCTGATGATATTCCATTAAGTAGGGTTAAGAAAAAAGAATTATGAAATTTGCTTAGCTCCCTTTTGTAAGCTGATAAATTCAGATAAAAATTAAAAACAAAACTAAGTAATAAGTTATTTATTTCGTAATAGAAACTGCGTGGTAGCGGTGTCGCTGTTGAAACAGGAACAGTCTCTTCAAGTGATGTAAGTATATTCCTTCTTAATTCACTGGCCTCCTAACACCATGAACATAAGTTATTTTGAGTCATTTAAAATTTTAACGATGTTTTCTAGCTCCGCAAATGTACATCTGTGGATTTTGATATCGCCTCCGGTTAGGGTAGTAGCATTGTAAAAATCGTATGTGTGTGTGTACATAGGCACACGCACACCATTTATAAATATATATGGTCTCTTGGGAGACTGGAGACTTGTTCTTCCTTGTTGCTCTTCTTTTCGGGTCACTTCATCTCAGACCCGAGAATGAAAGCAAGAGTCTGAATTCAGATCCACAACTGGAGTGAATAATTGTAAAGTTGCTGACGTCGAGCTTCAGTTGTCTGATAACATCTCCAATATCTGTCTAACGGATACGTGAACAGTATGTCAAGCAGTGGAAAACAGTTCAGTGATGGCTTTGAAACTCGTTACTTGCACTGTGTTTCTCAAGGCTTTATGTAGGGCTACATGGTGGCCAGAACCCCACCCGCCCCCTTGTTTTTTTTGGCCAAACTCTCCCCACATTTTTGTAGAGCCAAAAGGTTAGAGGTTGAAATGAATCCCGTCTCCCCAAGTTTCCTTCTTGATTAGAATTATCTTCCCCACTTGGGAACAGCTTATCTTTGTTGTACTCAGAATAGCTCAAGAACAGGCAATGAGTTTGGACAAGTAAGGGCCGGCCTGAGTAGAGCCGGTTGAGACAAAGGGAAAAAGAAACTTAGAAATGTAGGTGAGGTGCGTCTGTCTTCATTTGTTGGAAATATATCTGGGGAGTTGGAAAAAGTCTTTAGAGGGCAGTGTCTACAACCTGCCTATAGTACCTAAATGAAGCTCTGTGGAAGCCATCTAATGTTCCTACTGATTACCAATACGCCCATAATCTGCATGGGATGTGTTTGTGTGCCCTGAGACTGTAGATGGTCGTGGAACCCATTTTCAAAGCCAAGAGCAGGGCTTCTCTTGGGGCATGGGTTGAAGGATTTGCCAAGTAGCATGTTAGGCCAGAAAATAGCTGTTAGCCTTCTGAAATGGAATCAGAACAAGGTGAGCAATCTTGTGGTCAGAGTGGGCTAAGCAGGTGCTAGGTTAGAAGTCCAGATATTCCGCCATACGCGCATGTTTAAATTGAGAGTCTTTATGACTTGAATTTCTACCAGTTTGAACTTTTGAAAAGTTATTTAATTCATGTGTTAGACTTACTGGTAAGTTTTTTTAAAGGTGTTTTCAGAATCATGTATCTTACAAACTTACTTGCTTGTTAATGTGTTTGTAACTTATTAAAGCTTACACAATGAGTTGCAAGCTCCGGTGACATGCATTCTCATTTTGTTCTTTTCTGTCCAGTGTATTGGGGGAAAAGAACTATTTAATTCAGTTGGCAGCATATTAGTCAAAGTGGTTTACCTGGTAGACGCCTCTCCATCCCTCCCTAACAGAATTAGCATCGGGTAATTGTGAGTGAGGAAAAGAAGGCCTTTGATTTTGACCTTTTTCCCGTTCATACCCTTCAAACTTGAGCACACTTGCTGTCTCTTCCTGAAAGTTCCTACTTTTTCAGATGGCTATCAGCTTGGAAGGCAGACTTTACTAAGTTGAGCATAAGGTGTTAGCCTTTCGTCTGCTACTTGCATTTTAATAGGGGAATCTGGGTTGGTAACTAATGTTTATTGAGCTCTTACTATGTGTTCAGTACTGCTTTGCTCACTGGGCATTTACATCTCTTTGATATTCACGCTCCCTCTCGGATGTAGGTCTTACCGTAAGCCACACTGTATAGATGTGAACAGTGAGGCTGCGCGGAATGGCAGCACCGTCTTGCCCAAAGTCATTCGGCTAATGAGTGACAAAAACCCCGAAGAAAGGAATTGCTTGCCAAGGGAACTCCTTTTGAGGCAGTGGAAGGGGAATTGGGTCTGGGGGCATTCTCCACGTTGCAGAGCCTGCTCAGACTTGTAAAAATATGGGTGGTATATCTTAAAATCCCTTTAGGTTTTCTGAGCATAGAAAAGGTTTGGGAAATTGCATTATATGATATTGCCACTTGATGGCAGTATAAAACACAAGTTTTACACTTCAAAATGTGAACTACGAATGATCTAATAGTCTTCTCTCTTAAAATGGCCACGGAAGCCTCATCTTGAGTTATAAGTGGATTATTACAAACATTTTTGTTTAAATGACATCACATAAGTGGGCTTGCCTTAGAATGCATTATGTTGTTTTTGCCCAAATATGAAGATGTTAACCAACATCAGATCTTACACACTCACCTCCTTAAACTGTTTCGTTCTTTACTGGCTCTTGAAAGTGAGTACTCAGTCTTCTGTCCTTCTGAGGGAGCCACACAAGCCATGGAAGTTGGTTGGTGCTGATGTCCTGATAAAAAGGCACATACTGTGATCTGTCACGAACGGCAAGACTTAGAAGGAATCTGGGAATTTCGTGTTTGTTTGCTCGTTTTCTTTTCCCTCTGTCTGCCTTCACTTGCACCCGTGTGTGAGGGAGCAGGGTGACTTCTCATTTGGTTCTGATCTCTGGCCGTTTTGTTGTAGATCCAGTTTAGCATTAGTTATTGCTAGATGAACATTGTTTCACCGATGGGAGTAAGTAACTGCAGGAAGTTGATGTGTTCTCCTTATTCCTTATTTCATCTTGCCTTTTAACGTTCTGGATCCATTCTGTCCACCCGAACTCTCCATGATGATGGAACTGGCCATTGTGGGAGCCACCGTGTGGCTCTCGAGCACTCGGAAATGCGGCAAGCGCGAGTAAGAAAGTAAATTTTCAATTTTATTTAGTTTGTTAACTTTTTTATCGAAGTATATATCACATACCATAAAATCCACCCATCTGCGCAGTTCAGAAGGTTTTAGTATATTTACAGAGTTGTGCAGCCATTACCACAATCTAATTTTATAACATTTCAACCCCTCAGAAAGAAACCGTGTACACGTTAATAGTCATTCTTCATTCCTGTTCCTTGCTCCCACCCTCTAGCAAACACCAGTCTACTTTCTGCCTCTCTCTTCCTCTTCTGGCCGTTTCATAAAATTAGAGCGTACAGCCCGTGGTTGTCTGTGACTGGCTTCTTTCACTTAGTGTAATGTTTTCAAGATTCATGCATGTTTTAACACATATTCATAACATTTGACAATGAGAGAAACGAAATTTAGGGGTTTTTTTTTTCGGCTTTTGGCAAGATTTCTTAAATTGTCTTCGGTGGTGGTTCTAATGTCCTCGTTAATATGAAATTCGTTTTACTCTTGTAATTTAACGCTGTGCCCATGTGACACTTTTCAGTCTTCCGCAAGAGGTAGAGTACTCGGTTTAGGTCTTCACCGCTTCGTTGTTGAGCACATCAGGAGTATCCCCGAGTAGCTGAAATGAGTCAGGAATTCCCGTGTCACGAATCCATACAGTTTGGGCCTCTTATTTAACTGCGGTCTGCTCTAGCTGGTGAGTCGTGAGGTCTGTGAGGACCCAAAGTAATTCACAAAGGATGTCTGTGTAAGTTTGACCTGAAGCGGATCTTGGAGGATTTTCATTGTTCGATTGCCTTTTATCTTCCTGCCCCCAAATTAATACATCTTACTACACACTGGGGACCCTTAAAATGTATGCACAGAATGAACGTTAAGGAGGGAAGATAAGAATCTGTGCGTTTTGTTTCTCTGATCGTATTTTTGGAAGGATTATCCGGAGGTATATTCTGGCAGTACAAAAGAAAATTTGTGGTAAGGCATTTCAGTACAAGACTTCCTTGTACAAATCATTGTCAAAGCATAGCAATGATTATAACAATAAGTAATCTAAACTTGTACGCTAGATGTGTTCTTGGAAGCTGTATACAAAGCAGTAATTTATAAAGTAGTATTTTCTCAAGTTCATAATGATTTTTCTGCATAGTAAGGAATCTCATTGGGGGACTAAGCAAATTAGGTTGAAAGCAATGCTTGAAGGAGGTTGAGAAATTTGTAAATTAATAGTGAATTGTGTTTTTTTTGGTAAAACTTAAGTCTAAGACTAAATTATCTCAGTTTGGGCATTAATTTAATCTAGGTATTTTATGAGTATTGACTAGAAGATCTTTTTGCGTAAGCCAACTTCAAGAGGATTTTTGCCCTTCTGTATTTTAGTTCCTGCATATGAGGTAATAAAAATATACCTTACCATTGTTTCGCGCCTTGCAGAACTGATGTGAGTTCAGATTTGAGTAGCAGATGTTTTCCTTTTAATTTGTTAGGGCTGATATTTCCCTTTATTGGCGATAAAACAGTTTTGAAGAGTTTAAGTGATTTGCCAAAGATAATTTGGCAAAATTCTTGATAGGCAAAGCCTCTCCCCTTTTCCTTTCCTTCGTCTTTTTTCTTTTCTTTCTTTCTTTTTTTTTTTAATTATGTCTTAACTTTCACAGAGTAAAATACACAGATTTTAAATGTTCAGCTAAAAGAATTGAAATGTCACATGTCCTCGTACTCAGCACTTCCCTTTGGCTCAACTCTTACCAAGGTTGTGGTTATCATGGAACCTGGTACCATAGATTAATTTTGCCTAATCTTGAACTCTGTTGTAATGGAATTGTATTCAGTATGAACTCTTACGTATCTGAATTCTCTTGCCAATATTGTGCCAATGAAATTCATTCATATTGCATTTAGCAGTGATTCATTCTTTTTTTTTTTTTTTAAAGTTTATTTATTTTGAGAGGAAGAGGGAGAGGGAGAAAGGAAGAGAGAGAATGAGCAGAGGAGGGGCAGAGAAAGTGGGAGAGAGAGAGAACCCCAAGCACGCTCTGTGCTCCATACTGAGCCTGATGTAGGGCTCGATCCCACGACCCTGAGATCGTTACCTGAGCTGAAATCAAGAGTTGGATGCTTAACAGACTGAGCCACCTAGGTGCCCCTAGCAGTGATTCACTCTTTTTATTGCTGTGTAGGAATCTATTAAATGAATATTTTCTATTCTCTTATTAATGGATATTTGGG